ATGGATGCTGGACATGCTCAGCTCTTCGACCTTGGCTATCTTGGAGATGTGCTCTGGAGTGTCTGAGCTGAGCTTGGAGAGGATGTCGGCCTCAGCATTCTCCGCCCTTGGGATTTGGGTGATCTCATGGGTTTCAAATGCCTTGAGCAACTCCTCGGCCGCCTGTTTGTATTGCCTCATCCTCCCTTCTTTAGCCGCGTATGAGCCCTCAATCTGGCCCACCGTTAGGTTGGAGTCGCACCTGATTCTGATGTGCCGCGCTCTGAGGCCGGCGGCGAGTCTGGATGCTAAGGAGGGCCTCATACTCGGCTTCATTGTTGGATACCCTGAAGTTGAAGCGGATGGCATAGTAGGCTCTGAACCCTTCAGGGGAGATGAGGACGACGCTTCCACCATAAGCTTTGGTGGCCGATGAACCGTCGATAAAGAGAGTCCATGCTTCGTCTGGTTCTGGCCCTGGTGTGGTAGTGGCCGTCTCCCTGGCTGTGCATTCGGTGATGAAATCGGCCAAGGCATGTCCCTTGATGGATGGCCTCGGCTTAATCTGTATCTGGAACTGGCTGAGGAAGATCGCCCACTTCACCATCCATGAGGAACTGGTGGGGCTCCGCATGAGTGCGCCTAGGGGTTGCTGAGTTAAGACGTGGACGGCGTGGACCTGGAAGTAGTGCCCTAGTTTCTTCACTGTATGGACGATGGCCAGTACCATCTTCTCAATGGGAGAGTACCTGAGCTCGGCCTCCCACAACGTCTTGCTTATGTAGAAAATGACCTTTTGTACCCCCTCGTCCTCGTGGATGAGCACAGAGCTGACGGCCGATGTGCTCACCCCTAAGTATAAGAAGAGGGTTTCATCGGCTTTAGGTTTGGAAAGCACGGGCGGGGACGATAAGTACCGCTTCAGTTCCTCAAACGCTTGCTGGTACTCCGTCGTCCATCTGAAGCCATTTGCCTTGCGCATGATCTGAAAGAAAAGGAGAGACCTTTCAGCCGATTTTGAGAGGAAACGGTTTAGGGCCGCAAGGCGTCCAGTCAGCCGTTGTACCTCCTTCACATTTCGCGGTGGCTCCATGTTGACAATAGCCTGTATCTTCTTCGGGTTGATCTCAATGCCCCTTCGGCTGACCATGTAGCCGAGGAATTTGCCCCCTTGGACGCCAAAGGTGCACTTCTTCGGATTTAGGCGGAGCTGGAACTTCTTCATTATCTCAAAAATTTCTCGGAGGTCATCGGCATGGCTACAGGATTGCTTGCTCTTGACGATCATGTCGTCGACGTATGCCTCCATCATCCGGCCGAGGACTGCTTTGAAGACCTTGGCCACCATTCTGGTGTATGTAGTGCCTGAGTTCTTGAGCCCAAAGGCCATGACGAGGTAGCAGAAAATTCCCTCCGGGGTCATGAAGGCCGTCTTCTCGGCATCATCCTCATGCATGAATATCTGGTGGTACCCCCTGAAGGCGTCAAGGAACGACATCAGCTCGCATCCCGTCGTCTCGTCCACCAATTGATCAATGTTGGGGAGAGGGAACGGGTCCATAGGGCACGCCTTGTTCAGGTCAGTGTAATCAACGCATATTCTGAACGTCGGCGGCTTCTGGGCGAGGATGACGTTGGCCAACCAGGTCGGGTACTTCACCTCTTTGATGTGGTTGATTGAGAGGAGCATGGTAAACTCCCCTTTGACGAAGTCACGTCTGTCGGCCGAGAGGTAGCGCCGCTTTTGCTTGATCAACGTGGAAGCGGGGTCGACTAACAGCCGGTGAGTGATCACTCTTCGGCTGATGCCCGACATGTCGTCTGGCCCCCACGCAAAAATGACCGCGTATGTCCGCAGAATGACGAGGATGCCTTCGCGTTGGTCTTGTGGGAGCTGTTTCCCGATTTTCAGGACCCGCTCCGCCCGGGAGGTATATAGGGGGACCTCCTCGACCTCTTTGGCTGGCTCAGCGTGCGGCCTTTCTTCATCTTTGGAGACGGAGGTGGTGATGGTGTCGATTCTCTGCCCGGCGCTGGCCGCCGGCTTTGTCAGTTTTAGGTAGCATGCCCGGGCTATCTTCTGGTTCCCTCGGGCGTAGTCGATACTGCCGCTGGTGGGGAACTTCAGACATAGATGTTTCATGGAGATGATGGTTTCCAAATCCTCTAGTGCTGGCCGCCACCATATCAAGTTGTGGGCGCACTCGAGGTTGACCACCATGAATTCCATGTCGATCTTGATGCGATGGGAGCCGTCGCCGACCTCCACGGGGAGGACTATCGTGCCCTCGGCGTCAATAGAGTCTCCGGTGAAGCCGGACAACCGTGTCCGTATCGGCTTGAGCAGCGCTTTGTCCAACTTGAGCTGCCTGAATGTGTCAAGGTACATGACGTTGACGGAGCTCCTCGTGTCGATGTAGGTGCGGTGGATGATGGAGTCACCTATTTCGCACCGGATGACGAGGGCGTCCCTGTGTGATGCGGGCCCCGGAGGCAGATCCTCGTGGGTGAAGGTGATCGCCTCCGCCCGTTGTTTCTCCGGCTGGGGGGGAGCGTGGGACACCTCCCCGATGTAAAGGGATTGGGCCCATTTCTTCCTCTGGGTGGCTGAATCCCCCCCGGTGTTACCCCCCACAATGAGGTTGATGTGGTTCTTCTGCGGAGGGGGCTCTTCGAAGTCTTCGTCGTCATCGCTAAGCCTGCCGATCTCACGCTTCTTCGTAGAGGGTTCGTCATAGGGCTTGATGGCGTTTCCTCGGTACTTCTCGGGAATAGGGGCCGAGAGTACCCTTGTGTTGAAGGGGGTCCTTGTTCTGACCTGGATGATGGGGTCTCCCCGTCCTTCGGCCAACTCCCTCTCAAGGATAGTGACCTTGTTCAGAAGGGCGTTGAATCCGGGATCTCTGGATGAGTTGCCGGCGGGCGTGGCGGCCAGCTGTTTGGCCTCCATCTGGGCGAGTCTCCGCTCAAGTTGGGCGATCACTTCATCCCTGGGGTCCTTGGCGGCCATGGTGGCGCCCTGAGTCTGCAAGCGGGCTGCATGAGCCGTGTTGATCTGGTGACGGGCGTCATCCTCATGCAGTTTCCCCTTGCCTTTGTCCAGGCGGGGCCGATCCGCTATCCGGGATACCGACCCCAAGCTTTCCCTGGGTGAGCCAGGCTCACGCTGCCCAATCCGCCCCGCCATCCTCTCCGAAGCAGGCCGACGGCACGTGTCACCTAGCCTGTTAAAGGCTGAGGCTTTTCCACGCACTGGGGTCGGTCTAGCTCGAAGCAGGGAAGCAGGGTGGGAGTGGGACGACGTCGTGTCCTGGGGCAACACCTCCTCATCGTTGCCCAACCTGACGACCAATGGTTAGGGTTGAGGAGGCGGTGTCGTGTTCTCCCTCGTCCTTGGCATGAGTGCGCTGAGGACGGTGGGGTTCTGGTCCAAGCTGGCGATGATGGCCGAGAGCGCGGCCTGGAGCTGAGGGTCAACGGTGGGAGAGGCCGGTTGCGCTGAGGCGTTGTCACCTTTCTCCGCACGCTTCTTGTCCAAGCCGATGCGGGCGTCAGGGGCGTCGCCGTTGAGCTTGTTGTGTAGGTCTCCTGCGAGGTCGATGGCTTCCTGGAAGACATCCCCCCCAGCGGCCTTGTCGGCCGTGGCGTCCTCCTCGTGCTCTTGGTTCTCCTGTGCCTCAGGGATGGGCTTGCTGAGGAGGTTGCGGTTTGACTTAGTCCTTCCCATTGTTAGTTAGATGTGCTTGGTAGCGACGAAGGAGGCTAACCAGATTGTTCTAGCTCTCAATGAAAGCACCAAATGATATACTATAAGTCTAGAGAGAAGTGAGAACTAGAGAGAGAAGTAGTATATTTGCTCTGTATTAATGAATTGTGAACCCTTACAACTACTCCCAGAGGGAGTATTTATAGGAAAAATTATGGCTGGGCTCCCAAGTCTTGGGTTTGGGAAGCCCATTTACAATAGGACCACTAATGGGCCGGAAACAAAGTACATAGAAAAGATTAAGCATACAACCCTATTCTGGAGGCCATCTGTGGCCGATGAGGGCATGGCCGACGAGGGCATGGCCGATGAAGACCCGGCCGACGAGGTCACCCGGCTCTTCCTGGCTTCTGGATCACTTCTGTGTAGACTTCTTCGTCGGCCGATGAGGGTCATCTGGCCGACGAGGGTCCCACCAGGTGGTCGTGGTATCTTCCGTTCTCCTGAGTATGTGGGCCCTGGGGTCCTGGCTCATATACTCCATCATAACTTTTTCACCAAACACGTAACTTTTGATTCCATGCACTTAATTGCGTAATAATCAGAAAAAGTGAAGTCGGGGTTATGTTTTTTACTGTATTGACCGGAGTTACTATTGAGGATTATTTTAGCTATTTTTCATACGAAGTATAATTTTTTCTTTATTTTATTAATAAAAAATTTTTTAAATATAATTTTTTCATAAATCAGTAGAATCAACCAATCAAACAACTTCAGTCAGAACTTCATAAATTCAGCTGAATAAACTGATTCAACCAATTTCAATGTTACCAAACGAGCTAATAGTTAGCCCAATCGGCGATGTCAATTAGCGACGGTGGTAGCCATGCATGGGAGCAAGGGAGCCACCAGACGATATTTAATTTATTTTTCATGAAGGGTAACTTAGTCTGGTCATTGCACTTTTAGTCCTAGAAAACATAAAATCTTTCTTTTTCACTTTGATATAAGTCACTCTAAAATATATTTGAGATATAAATTTTCTATAAGCCACCATACTCGGTGAGTCCAGTGACTTGGATTCAATAGATTCAACTAATCGAGTCAATTTCCGTATTATCTAACAAGCTCTCTTATATACAAAAATAAGGAGTAATTAGTAGTCTTATTTGATCGCATAATATAATCTTATGGTCATTTGATCGCATAAAATTGCACATAAATTTCTATAATCACTAAAATTAAGATGTCTCGTTTTCATAAATAGCCATGATTGTAATTATTTCTACTTAACCAACGTTACTGTGAGGAGGTTATACCCCTTCCATTCTTATTGGACGGTTACAGGGCAGATAGTGAGGGTTCGTGTGCCATATTTTTAATGCGACGTGGTCTGTCGGATAACAAATCTCTCTCACCTCCATTTCCAATTCTTCCACTCCATATACAAGCTCTTCAGATTGATTCCACATTCCAGATCCAAATTCTCTCTTCCTGGCCTAATCTTCCCCGTTAAAATGAGGGATTTTGGTTCCTGTATAAACGAATATGCAGTCCACGTCTCCGATTCCTATTCCTGCGCCGCCCATTACACCAACAGTTCTTGCGTCTCCACTTCTCCGATTCCCTCAGTCCAGAATGCCGTCGTTTGCGTCTACAGGGCCGTCCTCTCCACCGGAAGGAGCATACCCATCAGAGTCTCCTGGTGCAGAACCGCCGCGTCGGACGGCCTCACCATAACCTTCGGCGACGACCCGTCACTCGCCGCCGCCTTCAAGCTCAGCGCCAACACGCGCCTCTTCCGCAAGAGAAAGGGGAGCAAATCCGTAGAGTTCGACCGGTCCAGGGTTGATGTCTTCTGGGATCTGTCTGCCGCCCGGTATTGCGCCGGGCCGGAGCCGGCGGACGGGTACTACGTTCTAGTCATGATCGATTCCGAGCTCTGCCTTTCCCTCGGGGACATGGCGGAGGCGGCGGCGGAGAGGAAGGTAAAAACCGGCGGCGCACACGCGGCAAAGTGCGCGTTGGTTTCGCGGCAGGAGCATTTCTCCGGGAACGCCCTGTACGCGACGAAGGCCAAGTTCTGCGACGCCGGGACAACTCACGACGTGATCATAAGCTGTTACGGGGACGACGAAACGGCGGCGGTGAAGCACCACCCAATCTTGTCTGTAACAGTGGATAAGAAGATGGTAATTCGGGTCAAGAGATTGCAATGGAATTTCAGGGGGAATCACACAATCTTCGTGGACGGTCTGTTGGTTGATTTGATGTGGGACGTCCATGGCTGGTTTTACAATTCCGGGCCGGGTTTTGCGGTGTTCATGTTCAGAACCAGAAGCGGAATAGACAGTAGACTGTGGCTGGAGGAGAAGTTGCAGAGGAAGAAGAAGGATGAAGACAGAGTTGACTTCTCATTCCTCATCTATGCCAGCAAAAGCACGTGATCAATTAATTACGTAATTAATTTACATAAAAACAATTTTTTTTATTTTTGTGGATTTTTTTATTTTAATACTTGATCCATCGGTCCCAAATCTGGTAGGATCCGGAAGTAACTGTTTATTTTTAAGATTGTGGGAAGAATATTGAGGTAGCCCTGTAAGCATGATTAGATAGATCACACATTTGTCTCACATAACAATGTGTAAAAGTGTGTTTTAACCATTTCAAGCCTGTATGGATTATTATGCATGTTTGGTTGAGCAATTAAGTTTGCACAGGGTTGAAGGGATTCATGAGAAAATGTCCCAATACTAAGGCTCACAAAATGTAATGCATTTAACAAAAAATAACAAGAAATCATTGAGAATCCAAGGTAAAAAGTTCATTCTTTTTAGAATTTGGTGTCGCTCAGCTTCTAAAAGACCTCATTTATGAGTCATTTGAAGCATCCAGAAATACTTCGGGACTCCAAGGTGAAACTCTATTGGGATGACGATACTAAAGGGGAGTGCATGGTGAAAGTAGCTTGGCGCTAGGTTTAGGATGGGAAAAGCTTAAGACCAAAGATTAGCCATCCTCTGATCTCTCATTATCCTAATGGTTTGGCAATTAGAGTTGAACCAGAATCTGGTTGATAGAGTACTTGATCTACAAGACTACAAATGACAATTACAAAGGCTTCATTAAGAAAGGTTGTTAGCAATAGCAATTGAATCAGAATGTGGTTGATAAATTATGTGATACACTTACTGACTTACACATGTCTTATTAAGTATGATGACTGCTTTTGTTAGGAGTTGGAAAATGACGTGATAGGAACGATTCACTTCACATGTTTTGAATTCAAGTTACCAAACCCCGCAAGGGTAGCCGAAGGGTGACTCGTTATTGGATTGAAGTCTAGGTTCAATTTACGACAACAACAATGTGAGAGTTTCATCCAATATGGTGACTCCTTATGCGCACCGGGCCCTGAACCATCTCACTCATAAATCGTTTGAGATCATATCATGACTTACTCCATCATTATGTCGGGTCGGGTGTGGGGCGTCTGGGATGGACGATTCCACCTTTTGGATTGAATTCAAGTTATCAATATTAATGAAGTGGATTTTCTCAAATAATGATGATATAATCCCATGAGTTGTGCATCTCAAGCGAAATCCCCCAACAAAGAAAACGAACATGACTTGATACTTCAAGCTCAGCTTCGGGAATGGCACATTTTAGACTAAAAAAATACTCATTTCATCACGTAGATTACTTAGCTTGTTGAATGCTCATTTAAACATGATCATGTACTATAATATAAGTATATAAGTATTGTATATTGGTATGTTGTGGATAGTGAGTTTATATTAGGTGTCGGGTAATAAAAAATAATAATCAAGACCCCATTAATCTAATTACTTATGAGTCTTTTTGGTACATCTGCATTTGATTGAATCAGATCGTTATGTAAAACTTGATGATTTCTCATAATTGATTTTGTTGAATTATGAAAAAATTATATTTAAAATATATTTTATTATAAGGAAAAAGTTATATGAAAAAATGGTTATTATGCTCACCTAGACTAACTTCAACTTTACTAGTTTTGATTATTAGATAATTCTGCGCGAGAAATCAAACTTTACTTGTATGAAGCGGCTAATAAGACTAATAAGTCGAACACCAAGTGTTATGAAACGGGCTCTATATTTTAGTGTCAATCATAATAATGATGGTATTTCTATTAATTTTAGTTGTAATTTTATCGTTTTCTAAATTGCATTTTTTCTTGAAATCATCCCGATATTCCATTAAAGGAAAATCGCACGTTTAGTCCCTGAAATAGTCACCATATTGAAATGTCAGACCCGTGTTTCTAAATTTGTAAATGTCACCCCTCAATTCTCCAAATTGTTGTAAATGTGATCCTTTAAGGGGTGAAATGTACAATGAGGTCGAGGAGTACATTTCACCCCTCAAAGGACCACATTTACAACAATTTGGACAATTTAGGGGTGACATATACAATCTCAGAAATACGGGTTTGATATTTCAATATGATGACTATTTCAGGGACTAAAAGTGCGATTTCCCTTCCATTAAAGTATACACATCGCTCATTATCATATTATTATGTATTATATTCATCGTGATCTCAGGTTCCATACTAAAAGGTCAACTTCACAGCAGAAATAGACCAGAATATAATGGATTGTTATTTGTGGTAATTACCCGTTTAGTCTATTTTTATAGTCTACATATCAATTATGTTCCAACTATTTTCTCTTTTCATTTATAAACTTTCCTCTTTTCAATTTTAGCTTTTTATTCCAGTTTTAGACATATTCTCCCAAACTCTTCTTCCGTCTCCCTTCTAATCTTCCCACGTACGACAGAAACACCCTACCTTCATTGAGCTTCGTATTTGGAGAGTTCTCAACCACAGTTCTTCTAAAGTGTTCTCGCTGGAGCGAACGACGTAGCGTACGGAGAAAGGGGGTCAAATCTCAGCTTCGACGGGTTGCAATCGGGTTCACCGGCACAACACACTTTGCAGGATCGATCGACCCTCATCGCAACGATCATTTAGAAGTAAATTAGAGAAATAGGCAGAATTCAGCTGGTATGAGCTTAAATGGGACTTCCATTTGTTGTTTTGATTATGTTTTCTTTCTATTTCTATCTCTTAACCAAGTAACCTTGCCGAAATTGCATACGAGATTGAATCTCAATGGATGAATGCCTAAATTCCAATTGGTAGTTCTAATGGAGATGACTTATCTCATGTAGTGCTTCAGGTTCCTTGTTGTACTCTCTATATAGGAATTTAACCTTTGTTTGATTGAAGGATTTTAGAGTGGTGTTTATTAAAGTGGAGATGTGTGTTTGTTTAGGGAGTTAATGGGGAAGTTAGGGAGGCAGAAAGTTGGTGAGCTATAAAAGCATCCAAACTCTCAGATTTCATTCCCCCAATTTGGAGAATCTGGGGAGAGATGTTTTTATTCATGATTTCTTTCAATTTTTTCCCCAAAATTGTTCTGCATTATTATTAATGGATTTATTGACATATATGTGTGTTGGAATTCATGGGAGCCGGCGTAAGCAAATGGAAATGGCATTTATGGGAGCCAGCATACAACCTCTCAAATTTGGCCTCTCAATCTTAATCTCACTGTGAGTTACTATAGCTTTGTCTAGGATTTAAGTCTTCATACATAATTACATATACTCAATATAATTTTGCAATTTTAACACCAATACACTGGACAGTAGATTAGTGAGCATTGTTTTTGTTTTGCTGATGAAATTGTAGTCTGCAAATCAATCCCCAAGCTTTTGCAGTCAGTGGAGAAAGCCATATACTCACTCAGGAGTCGCTACGACTTCAACCCATCAATTTTTTCTTGCTAAGATTGCTGGAATTTGGAAAATGCGACTTAGCTTGTGTATTGCTTAGTTGCAATGTGCTACTCCAGAAACTCCATATCCCAGTAAGAGAAGGTCGTGTAAGTGTGTTCGTTTCTAATTATTTTATAGATTTAATGATTCTTTATTTTTTTGAATATGAAAATTGCAAAAAATTCAGCCAAGGAAGAAATCGACCTTTAGTCAATTAATTCCTCTTCTTATGTTGCTCTATTCTTCTAACTTTCCAAGCCCTCTATTATGACTTTGCAAGTATTTAAAATACTAATGAGTTATTCCGGTAGAAGAAAGTTTTGTAGACTTGATTGTGAACCACTCTAATCATGAAAATGATAAAGTTTGAGAGGTCAAATTTGAGAATTAAGATTCCTGCTTAACATTACCCATGTGACCCTGTTAATGAAGCGTGTTGTGAATCCAAATAGTATTGTGATAAATGTTGATAAGAGCTCACGGGAGAAAACATCTATTATGTTGGCTTGTTTATAATTATCTCCAAATGGGTTCTATATTTTAATGTTACTAATAATAGTGATGGTATTTGTATGAATTTCAGTTGTAATTTTATCCTTTTTAAATTGCATTTTTCTTGAAATCATCTCAATCTTTCATTTAATTAACATTATCATAGAGGTTATTTAAAACTAATCTGCTGTTGGACAAATATTAATGATGTTGAAATCATTGTGGTATGACTTGGAGGTCAATTCTAAGAGGTTAACATGAGAGTAGAAGTAGTCCACAATCTGATAGTGGTTTATTATTTTAAATTAATCTGGTGTTGAACAAATATTTCAACACGATACTCAATCCAAACCGGCCTAGACAACATATTGATCACCAAACGGACTCTATTTTAATGTTAATTATAATAGTGATGGTATTTGTATAAATTTTAGTTATAATTTTATCATTTTCTAAATTGCATTTTTCTTGAAATCATCTCGATCTTTCGTTAAAGTACACACATCACACATTATCATATATGTGTGTATATATATACATACATACATACACACACATGTGTGTGTGTGTGTAAATATATGTATATATATACGTGTGTGTATATATATGTGTGTGTATGTATATATATGCATCACTCATTCTCATATATAATCATCTGATTTATTATGTTAAACAAATTATGTGTTGGGCAAACACTTCAACACGACTCCTCAACCCATATCGGACTGGAAAACATTTAGAACATCAAATGGGCTCCATATTTTAATGTCAATCATAATAATGATGCATGGTTATTGTATAAATTTTAGTTGTAATTTTGTTGTTGTCTAAATTGCATTTTTACTTGAAATCATTCTAATCTTTCATTAAAGTACACGCATCACTCATTATCATTTACCTCATCATGTTAAGACCTGAGATTCTATTCTAAAAGATCAACATATAGAATGAGTAGTCCAGAATTTTATATAGTGATTTATTATTTTAGGCCTTAGAACAACAAGGTCAGAAAAGTTCTGCCATCCCTGCATAATGAAAATTTACCGGATCAATTACACGCACAACATCTAGACAGCTAAGAGAATAACATAATACACGCTCATCAGAAGCGAACAAAACTCTCGACCAATGAAGAAACTGGATCAAAAATCTTGAAAATAGAGAAATCTTTGATTTAATCTTTCACGAGTCACGACCCAGGATGTCATCTTCTAAGACTGATCGAAGAAAAGAAGGCTAGAATATCATATCTTGTGAAACGGCTTTTTCTTAGGATCAGCTATTAACTAATAATCCGTACTTTTATTCTAAAAAATCATATGTGCTCATCACATATAAATTTAAAGGGAAACTAAAAAGAGCAGAAGGAATAGATTCAACTTTAAAGGATTTGA